AAGTCTCGAGGAAAGAGAAGCCACCGACAGCACTCCTTCGTATTCACTAAGATATTTTACAAGGATTGTCTGTTATTCAAATAATTAGAAGAGTAATTTAGGTGTTGTTTACTGAGTTTAAATCAGGGTGTTATATTTGAAGGAAATTGGTGGATGGTGAATAAGAGTGGAATCCTGGAAAACGCGCATTTCCAACTACTTTGGGACTTTCGCTTCTTCGGGGATTATGTGCATTACCCGGTCAGTAAGTGGCGGTGTTCTGACTCAGGATCAAAACCCTTACTCATCATTTAGCGTGCCCAAAAATTATCGATCAGAATACCTGACTAGTCGGAACTACTTAATCTGCAACGTGTATCAGATGTGACAAAATTAAACTTGGACTATCATGCTGATTGACTGGACTGAAGTGGTCATTCACAGAAAAGAGTCTGGGTGGGAACAAAATTACCTACTGGGGACTGCGGGAAATCCGGTGGCTGACAAGTGCCAAGTAGGGGGCAATGAGCCTTATCCTCGATTACACTACCAGCCAACATCCACCAATTGATTACTAGTGAAATAATCAGAAAACATCGAAGCATCCACAGAAGCAACCTACATTTCAGACTGAGGGCTAACACCCCGTGATTTAGTGAATCAACAGGGAAGTTCAAACTGAATTGAAACGTCTACACTCATTAGTCAACCTCATGAAATACCGTGTTTATTTGGATTGCGTGATTCTGGAGCTTGGTTGATTTCCGAGTAAACTTGGTGAAGTACTGAATTCTGTTGACGATACCTTGAAAAAGAGACGGAGATTCGCTTTGACATACGGTAAACAAATACAAATATCAACAGAGAATACTGAAACAGATGGCACTGTGAATAAATTTAAAGGTGATATGAAGACAGATACAGTGAGATAATATCATTCCATTGCACCTTCGCGATCGTTACACAACTAGAGTAGCTCATAATAATAAAATTGAATATCAGTGTTGGTGAACACTGAATCATTTGTTTATTCAATCTGGTACTCATTTGGCAGAAGACAAGAAGGCTATCATCGTAAGGCAGGGATTGACCCAAGACGACACTGGTATCGGGTCGTTTCCGTCTTGAAAAGATACAGATGGAGCAGAAAAGTTGGTAGCCTATGCAAGTCAAGCATTTAGTAATAGTGAAAGGAATTACTGCCTCACGCGGAAAGAAATGCTGGCACTGGTCAGTTTCGTTAGACACTTTAGAGCATATCTTCTCGGTAGACATTTCGTAGAGCTGACTGATCACTAAGCCCTTAGCTAGTCCTTAACTTCAAAGAAGCCGAGGGCCAGTTCGCTAGTTAGCAAGAATACGTGCTAAAGTATGACTTCGAAAGCAAGCACAGACCTTGGAAAAATCATGGAAATGCAGACTCATAGTCAAGAAAATCTCTTAAGCATCACATCGACTGCCCATCATGCACCAAAGCACATTTTCTCTGCCCCAAACTGAGGTGCCTGATTCATATAGTTGGTCCGAACTTCGGTCCTCAGACCCTGAACTGGCCCTGATTTACGAACGTGTTCTAAGTGGAGGCGAACGACCGACAGCCCAGAGAGTGAGTAAGCTTAGATGGGAAACTCGGAGTTTGTGGTCTCTGCTGGACAATTTGAAAATTGTTGGTAACATCCTTAAATACTAACACTGTCCACTACACTCGCCACCTTGTGATTCAACAGCTGGTACTACCCACGGAACTGTTATAATCACACCAACATTTAGGCCACGCGGGCTCAGGAAAAATGAAATAAGTGGCTAAAACACGTTATTGGTGGGCTCATCAGAGACAGGATAACGTGCTTTCTGCGATTCCTGTGAGGTATGCCAAACTATTAAGACTCCACACAAATATAATAATGCACCCTTGGAACCCATTATAACTGGCAATCCAAATGATTTACCGCAAATAAACTCAGTTAAGCCTCTTCCAGTAACCTCCATAAATAGTAACTATAATTTATTTCCTGTAGACCATTGTACCAAAATGTTGTGAAGCTATCGCGATTCCCCTAATTGATGCTGTAACAGTTGCCGAATCAGTTTCTGACCACTGGGTCAGCCTCCGGGGCAGGACTTCAGCTACTCTCAGATTGAGGATCCAACTCTGAAAGTGTCGCTCTCAGCGAACTCTGGCGCATGATGGGTATCTGGAAAACACTCACTACTGCGTACCAACCACTGGGAAATGGTTTGGATGAACGCACCAATCGGAAGCTTAAATCCGTTTTGCAGGCTTTTGTAGAGCAAAACAACCCTAGGGAATGGGGCCGATCACTCTCTTACTGGCTTACAGAGCAGTTAGTCACAAAGATACATACCAAGCGCCTAATTATATGATTTCCGTAACAGAATTCCGATTGCCAACTGATATGACTTCAAACGCACAAGGAGAGGACAAACTGATTGCGTCAAAACACGTAATCAGACTGAGAAAAAACCTGAACAAGGTACACCAAATGACTGGGGGTATGCTTCAAACAAGCCAGAGGTACCGGAATGAATACTATGATGGAAAAGCACATGGATCCCCTGTGGAGCCAGGAGACAAGGTAATGCTACTAAAGAAGGCTGTAGTGACCCGTTTTACTACTCATCATCTCAGTATACTTTCACTATGTAATTGTACTTTGATTTGTTATTACTCTAAATCTTGCATGTTAACAATTGATACTTTTTGTACTCGCTCGATTTTTGAATTGTTGATTGCTGCAACAATACACTATCGTATTCCTTCGCCAGTGCCTTTTGAATTACGTTGCGGATGTCGAGTAATCGCAACGTTAGGGCACAAATGTAATGCTAGAAGATACGTGTACGCCAGTTCAGTCAAAATATAGCAGCAACAAGGCGCCACCTAAAGAAAGGGCTCTTAAACTCCATAAACACCGGGAAGGACCGTTTACTATTGTGGAGATACTTGGTGGCTGCACCTGTAGAACCCAGAATCCCAATTCCGTTCATAGTCTAGTGACACATTTTAACAGAACAAAGCCTTTTCGACAAAAGCCTTAGTTCAGGCAAGTCCTGCAGTAACAGTTACCCAGCACTTCGGCCAGTGCTCCTATGGGGAGGGGATAGTGTAAACGAAGGTGAGTTCGGCAGTTGTGTAGTGTTCAAACTGAGCCTGACCAATTTCAGGTTGGCCACATAGCGTACAGCGATTGGTCGCCCAAACGATGCAGTGGATGAACAATGGGAAAAGCCTTCCTCTTTCACCTAATTGTGTTAAGATTGGTTTTTAGGTCAAACCACTCACTGCACACATATTCATCAAGGTATCTGAAGATATGTTCTTTTGCGACAAACTTATCAATTGGATCCCGTTTTTCAGTCTTCTCCAAAAGTCATCCATGGGAAAGGTATGGGTTTTAGTAGGGGAATGGACGACTATTTACTAGGAAAATGTAGATAAAAAGTAAAAACATCACATGTATGTTGTTCCTGTGAATGCTTCGATGTTGTGTGATTATCTAACTTGAAATAAATTGGTGGATTTTGGTTAGTAGTGTAATCCAGGATAAGGCGCATTCCCCCTGACTTGGTACTTGTCAGCTGCTTAACGCGCCCGCAGTCCCCATTGAGGCACTTGTGTGACGCTGAGTACTTCCTTTCAGCCAATCGACGAGAAAGTTCAAATTAATAACTGATAGCCTTGCACAGTAGGTAGCTCTCGTGGTTCAAGTGGTCTAGTTGGTAACGTTTCGGCGTTTGGAATGTAGGTACATCTATTTGCCGAGCCATTCTCAAAGTGAAGGAAATGTGCTTTATCTTTTATTCTACTTCATATTGCAATTGTTGTTTGAAACTAAGAAATACAACACCCAAATTACCCTTCTAATCATTAGAATTATCCAGAATCGCTTATGAAATTTTATGGTGGCTCTTTAATTCAACTGCACGACTGCCTAACGGCTATAGTGTCTCACACTAAAATACATTTCCATAGTGTTACGTGAATGAGTAAAGTTATCTTGATGTTTTTGTCATGAAGAATTCAAATAAGTTCATTTTATACTAAAACTAGCTCTGAAGATGCTGTGTAGAAGGAGGACAACAAAAGCTACGCAATTAAATTAACCAGCTCATACAGAGAACACAACTAGATCAAATTCATGAACGTGAGCTACAAATCTTCCCCATTATTTCACATAAAAATGTATTTCTACTAGACTATTTAGCAGTCTATGTTGGGGAAACTAAATTTTTCAAAACGAATACTGTATATGTCTTTACTCAAATTGACTCAGTTGTGTTTTTAAGTTATTTGAATTAAAATTCACCAGATTTTTTCTCTGATGCTTTCAAATTTTCGTGTCATTTCCAGCAGTTTATGATTGTTGTTCAATTAATCTGGTGTTTCACCATCAAATACTGTTATATGCACCTAATTTTCAAAAAAATACCACATTTACTTTACAGTGCAGTACTGTTTGTATTTCCTCTACGTGACTCATGGCCTTGAAATCCTATTGGCTGTTGACTATTTTAATTCACCACTGTGATTGGTGTCTCTCAAGGTCATTCGAAACATATATATATTCAGGCTCTGTCAACCATTCACGAGACAGTAAAAGCTGTCTACGTCAACGGTCTGTCTTTTTGTTTTGAGGGTTCTGTGGTATCGTATCATTCCGTTCTTGTTGTTGATGTTGTTGCCAATAGTGATTAGAACAGTAGGCTCGCGAATCATTTGGGTAGAAAATTTGTCAGCGCAAACTGCCAAATGGTCATGTCATATACAGAAGCGTAAATATTTGCTGACAATATCTAGACGTAAGATTTGATATACAGGGGAACAATAAGAAGAGGACAGCTTCGTTTGAAATATTTCTGATATCATCAAAGAAAGGATAACCAAAAAGATGATACAAAATCGAGTACAAGTAAAGCAACTGTATTCAATGTTAATTACAAAAGTAGTTATAGATTTCTTTGCAAAATATTTGGCTAGATCTTCTGGACAATTCAAGAAATTAAAAATTTAAATTAGCAGATGGGGAAGAGTTAGTTGGGTTTATTCCAGTTTTTTCTAAAAGCTTTATGAGTGCTAAGGCCAATGTATTACATGTCAGTATCGTTTCGAACCATAGTATGAACATTAGAAGCGTCATTGAGCATTTTATTACGTATTGGCAGAATTGTACAGTGGCTATTATAGCCTAAAATTTTGAAAACAAAAAGAAATAATTACGTGTGAAACATCTCATCTAAATATAATTCAGTGGAATTGATATAAGAATAAAACTTAAGCCAGCAACGATTTCGGGCACATTGCAGACTTTTTGGGGCATTTGTATGGGCGGTGATTGGCCAGAAATCAACCAATGGGAGTAACCCATATGTACTTCCTCAACCAATGACAGCTAACTTTTTGGGGCAGACTTAGGGCGCACTGCAAACTTTTGGGTTCAATTTCTCAAAATCTGCAATGCGCCCGAAGATTTTGCCTGAAAAAAATCTGCAGTGTGCCCGAAAATAATGCTAGCTGGGTTGTGCACTGTGGTAGAGTATAATTCCTTTATGGAGAAAATTTATTTTGATAAATTCTCACAGAGGGTTATACAGTAATATTTACAGATGACTACGTTTCGAGCACAATTTATTACTGCAGCTCATAATCATATCAAGTCACTCACACAACTTTCTAATGTAAGAGTTAGACTTGGCTTAACTTAGACCTAAATTAGCCACTCTTACAAAAACTTCTTCACCGCTTTATGACTTTAGTTGTATTCTGCCTAATGTGCAAATACTAACGAACTGAATCAAGGTAAAAAAGACTTGAGATGACTAGTGTGACTGGAACAGAGTTATATTTACACAAAAGCGTTATGAGATTTGATAAAAAAAATAAGAGGTTATACACTTATCTGCAGTCGTGACGGTGGTAAGCTCAGAGAGTGTGCCGGATGAAGGCACAACGAGAGATCGAACCAAAACCGTACAGGAGATTCACGAATTGAAAGAGGAAGTGGTGCTAAAGGTCAGGTGATTCCGTTCAAACAAAAGTTCGAAGGTTCAATGTACACTACACTAACTTCGTTTATAAAATTCCATTATTTTTCATCGCTTGATTGGACTGGTAGTAGTATTTTCTATATTTCCTGTATGAGAAATGAGTCATTCCTATTACATGTGTTAGATGTAGACTCGATGGACAAGGATTCAGCAATCAAACTCTCTCTATCTTCACCTACCTCTATTACTTTTTGGAATTTCAAACCTCACCCACTCTATTGTGTGGTTGTGTGTTAATGCGTGCAGTGTGAATGCTGGACTTTTTTCTAAATTACCCATCTATCTTCTTGGGGTCAACCATTCTTACCATAGCCACTAAAATCTTGTGTTCCGACAATCTGACTACACCCTATCTACTAGCTTGACCTATGTAGTTGACCCCGTTCACAGTCATTGCAAAATATTTTGTAAATTATATTATTTTGTTTAATTGGGTCCACTGGGTTCTTTAGCCTACAGAGCTTGTTCTGCCTGAGTGAGTTTGTTCGTTGGAATGCCACCCTAATTCCGGCTTTATTGAAAATCCTTCATTGGGTTTCGGATGTTCCCTCCTTTTATACCTTATATCCTCTCTTATTTGTGTTATCGCTATTAGTTTCCCCATTATTTTTCCTTTTCTTTTGACCTTTTCGATATTTTTAATGAATTTTATAGGATAGTTATTTGATACAAACGTTTCTTCTATCTGTTTTATTTCATCGTTTAGGTCTTTTTTAAGCTACTTGTGCTCGGTTTGTGAGACAATTAACTAAACCAGCCTTCACAGATAGATGACAGATGAGATGAATTAAAGTCTAAATATCTATTAGCAGAATGCGTTGGTTTTTTATAAACGCTAGTGTGCAGTTTACCTTATTCTATTCGTTTTTATTTTACAGTCTAACATAGTTAGCTAATTCTCCTTGTTCATTTTCCGATTCAAATGTGAATTTTATTCCCTCTACTAGTGAGTTTATATGTGTCAAGAAGCTAGAGATATGTTCTGTTTTTCACACTGTGACTGAAAGTGTTATCCCCAAATGCTGTGTTAGGAGCAATATTTTCCCAGCTGTCCATAAAGATACTTGCTACGGTAAGGGATATAGGTGGAAAGATAGGTCGATTACTGAATCTTTGTTAATCGAATAATCCACACCGAACACATGCAATAAAAATGACTCATCATTCATACCACCAGAAATATGGAAAATACCAATCAAGTCAAGCGATGCAGAATAATGGAATTATATAAACAAAGTTAGAAAGTAGTGTGTGTATCGTCTTGGTATGATTATGTGTGGTAATAAATTGTTCTCGAAACGTGGTCATCAGTAAATATTACTGTATCACACTCTGTGAGACTTTATCAGAATAAATTTTACCCATAATAGAAGTAATTCAGTGGAATAACGCATAACAAGACTGATTTGGTAATGGGAAATAAATTCAAACCAGAATCCCCCTTTTATAAATTTGAGCATAAAAACAATAAATATTGGTGCAGAATAAGATGTATCCACCTTATTCCATTGGTTGTCATCAGCTGCGCATAACCCACAGTCTTTAACAAATAAAAGTCACTGTGAAATTTAACATACTTATATCTGTCAACGAGCAAATGTTACCTACAAGTGTGTATACCAATTCACATGTATCTACAGGAACAGTTACATTGGAAGAATACAAAGAAAGGCCTACATCAGATTCTTCGAACATGTACCAAAGGCTTCTGGTTAAAGGGCCCAAGCAGTTTAAGCTCTTCAGTTAGCAAACACCTGATAGACAATGGACACCGAGCAGAACTGCTAGCATCATTCGAAATAATTGATAGACAAAAAAGCTGCTGAAGTCATCTTCGGTTCGCTAAGGCTATCGCAGTAAAACGGCTGAAACCTGACTTATGTGTCCAAAAGGAATCTGCCGCTGGACTTCAATCACCTTCGTGACTTATTCCTTAATAACTCTCTGTTTTTCAACCCCACGCCCTAACTTCTGTTTGACTTCCATGAGAGATAATTCTTTTTGACCTTATGGTATTACATCGTCATCTTTTCATATGACCTCTTGCACACCAAATTTTGATCTTCTCTTATCTAATTACGTAGTTGTTAATAATTTTTTTGTTATCACCCTAACAACAAACTTGTCAGTTAATTTTCGAGAAACTTTCTGTAACAATATACATTTATATATTTATACTGTAATACCTCAGCTACCTCGTGATCCTAATGTTTCATCTCACCATTATACTATGATAATATGCTTGTTGGCAGATAAAAGTATATTTTTGATTGGAAACCAGCCAGTAACTAGTGTAATGTGTCTTTGTGTGTGTTTAGTTCCCTTTGTTTGGTGCAGACTGAATTCTATCAGTCAAGTTTGCAATGTGGCCACCATGCCACTAGGCGGCTCGCTATGAAGGTGCACTGTGAATTGTTGGTATTAGATGGTTGAAGGGAATCGGCCACAGGAAGCCTCACCTGACGTAGGCTTCATACTAGTTGGCACTTACCAGTCACCAAGGCATTTCTTCAGCCTCGAAGGAATTCATATCCCTTCTGAGATTCAAACCCACGTCACCACCCAGTGCTGCAGTCAGAGACGTTACCACTGAGCTATTCGGGCTCGCGGCTGGTTGTTGTTGCTGTTCGTCGGTGATCTTCATAACCTCCGTCTTCTCTGCACTTCCTGCTTCTTCAGTCAGTTTGTTGGTTTTCACATGTGAGTCTTCGAGTTTGTGTGACATTCAACATACATCATCTACGAAACCCAGGTCTTCTAGAGTCTTCTTATCGGTCAGTGCAGCGTATTTCTGTCTCCTCCCTCCCAACGCACAGTCTGACACAGAATCTAGTCCACCACAATTAAGAATATCATCATCGGTGATAATAGGCAGCCATGTTTTCATGTATTCCTCATGGATAGCAATAAACTGTAGCAAATAATATTTGTCCCCAAGTTATCCTATTCCTTCACTAGGATATCTGAATTGGCATTAGTTTGTTCAGTGATATTAATGAACTAAATTAATGGTTGTTAATGACGACAGTGTTTTACGGAATGAAAGGTATTCGATTATCCATTGGTCAAATAAAAAATTATTCCTTTAATACGAATCCTCTTCTTGCATTAGAATAAGTCAGTTAATAATAATTATTGTATTATTATTATTATTTCATTTGTTTAAATTTTGACCACAGATTGATACCAGTTAGAGAACCACTGAAAACTAGCACTGAAGTGCTGAATAGACTGCTGTTTTGTCAGCCTAGTTTGGGACTCACCGGCAGTATGAACCCACCCTACCGCCAGGGTTCGAATCCAAGGCCTTCCAATTGCAAGGAAAGCCCAGTGAAACATAGGGCTTCAATCTATAGGTTTCAAGTTCCAGTAGCAGTGGCATTATTTTTACGGGGTGGGGTGGCTAGCCCCACGGCTATCCTTCCTTCTTTGTCGGGCTTACAGCCAACTAGGGATTGGACCCCGGACCACGTGCATGGTTGGTAACCATTGTACTTCTGAACTACCGACGTCTTAGAACAAGTCCAAACAACAGAGGCTATTGTGATTCACCTAAAACAACCGGTGCTCTATGTGCAAAAGAAACAGTTCCGGTTAGCCAGCCAATATTCTGCCTTGGCCAGCCTTCTGTAGAGCCTATAAATTCATGAATTATGTATTATCATTATTTTTCCTAATTTGCCTGTCTGATATTCAGTGTATTGTTATGTTGATGCCATTGAACTGTAATCCACTGATATTATTATTATTGATTCGATGTTATTTAAACAACATTAATGTTGTTAATGACCCCAATGCTTTCATGATTAGTATGGATGTGTATTACTGTAGAAACTGATGAAGAACAGGTTATCGAAAAGAATATTCTGTGTTCAGTAGTAATGAGTCTCTTGATATTTCTAATAAAACACTGTCTAATTTAGCATTTTCAAGCCTCCAGGTCATGTTGATTTAACCAACGGTAAAAAGACTCCTCTAAACATTGGGCACGAATGGTAGTCAGAGAATGTGAAGTGATAAATAATCACTGAGATCATCATTACTTGTGTACATAGTGAGTCAGTGAGTGGGCGGGTGAGTGATCGGTGAGATTAGAAAACCTCAAAATATCTTTGAATTAAGCCATTTGTGGTAGAACTTACGAAAATTGACGCCAAAGTCCAAAATATGATAGGCAACAATAGAACAGGTAGCTGGTATAACAGAAATAAATCGGAATAACATTGTATTAGCAAAAATATCTACGAAAAATAACACAATCTCACATGAGTGACTAATTGCTTCAGATTATGAGACGTCTTTTCAAAAATGGGTTTGAGAATACCGTCGTTAGTGGTACAGTTTGACGCATTTCCTGTCGAATATTGCAAATGTGTTTCTTAAATCACTTTGTGTAACAGTTAAACAGTAAGTTATATTTCATAAGCTCGTCAGAGGAACAGCGGTAGGATACTCGCCAACCACGCTTGTGGCTCAAGGTTTGACCCAGAGCCAACATACTCCTAGGCTTCACTAAGCCGTTAATAAGACCAGTGAATAGAGAAGGTTGAGAATGAGGCTAGAAACCCCACCCTGTAAAAATGAACACCGATGCTTCCGAAATTTCAAAGCTCCAGCTTGAAGTCGTGTGATCCACCCGGAATGTAAAGGAATAGATATATGATAATAATAATAGGAATAATAATAAATAGCTTAAAGACCCTCGGCCACAGAGTTAGAGCTATATTGCTTAGAAGAAGTAATTGAAGATGAATTAAGCTATCCCGAAAAATTTATCAAGAAACACATGACAAAGAAAGCGGAAAAGGACTGACTACTCAATATCTGTTAACAAGAAGCCACTTTATATACGACTGCAATTCAAGGGCGACATAGCAAATGTGATAATTACGAGGAAATTGAGAAAATCAGTTTAAAGAACTTTTAATGCTGGCGAACTACACGTCTTATTCTCTACACAACCGATGGTGCTACCTCGACTGAAAGATGAAGTACCTAAACTAGCTAGCCACTTCCAATTGTATATACCAATTCAACTGCGCTTGTGGAGCGAGTTATATCGCCCGTCGCTCTAGGAACTTGATTTTTCGTGCTTGCTCGAGAACAGCTCCCAGTATAGCTAAGTAAAGGTGTAGTGAAAACCATTAACTGTTCGATATTGGACCATCCGGTGCAAACCAGCCACAAAGCCAGCCAGTATTGAAGAATCCTTCTCTATCATCTACCGAGTGCCTAATATATTGCCAAAATCATCGAAGCACCGCATGCTCCAAACAGCAGAGGCTATTGCAATTCACCTCAAACAACCAGTGCTCTGTGTTCAAAAGAAGCAAGTCCAGCTAGCCACTACTACTGCCCTGGCCGGCCTTCATTAGAGACTATAAATTCATGAATTTGTAATATCATCTTTCCTGATTTTTCTGATATTCAGCTTACTTTATGTTGATGCTGTTCAGCTGTAATCTATCAATATTATTGATTCGATGTTATTTAAGCAACATTAATGTTGTTCATAACACTAATTTATTCATTCACTATGATGTATATATATAACTGTAGAGCCTGATGATGAAGGCGTTATCGAAAAGAGTACTCTTTGTTCAGTATCCATTCTTTTGAAAATAATAAATTACATTTCATTTAGTGAAAATGAAGATTAAGCCCTCGTTTGCCAATGTGAAAACTTCAAGTTTACAGAAAGCACGTTCATTTCCTATCTAACAGCGATACATAGAGTGAAAAACTGGTTATTTCCACAAGAGGTGGCTTTCATGACGTAAGTGGTTTAGTGGATAACACTTTAGCTTCTGAAATGATGGATAATGGGTTTGAGTCTCAGTACAAACGTAATCACTGACTCACTCACTGAAAGTACTGCAGGTACATCCAGATGATGAGTTAGTCCTGAATGGGACGAAATCCGCGTTATCCTGGCTTCCGATGCTAGTCACCATCCATCAATTTATTTAAAGTTCACTGTTCCTTCTTCAATGAGATCAGGCGAGGATTCACTGTTGACTTCTCAATAAAGTCTACTTAAATCAATAAATTTCACCAGTGTAGCAGCAGAATACATTTGATAGCGTTGCATCAAAATCAGAAGCTTACATATAGTGACTTGTTGGTTTTCTGAAGCACCATAAAAGCGTGAATTTATGCAATGGAGGGATCAACTTTTAAAAGTATTTTATTCCTTTACGTTCCAAGTGGAACATAATAGAGCTTCAAGCTAGAGGTTTCAAATTTCGGCTTTTACTTTTAACGGAGTAAGGTTGCTAGCCTCATGTCCAACGTTCCCTCTTTACTGGTGTTAATACCAACTTAACGAGGTCTAGGAGTGCGTTGACCGAGCATCGAACCCCATACGGGACCACTTCCGTGATTGGTGAAAATTCTACCGCCAAACCACTGGCGCTAATGTACTATTTAATACTAAAATATTATTCAGAATGTTGAGATTTCCATTTTATTCAAGTAATCAACGCTTTTACTTTACACTTGTTTACAATTGTTCCCATCCAGTGGTTGAGTGGTAAAACAAGTTTGTTTTATAGACTGAAGGTGCTGGGTTAACCCCCCTACTACCCAGTGAGATCGATGCTGCACACCTTTAAAAAAGTCCACTGTTCGTCAGGTTCCAGTGTTTCTCTAACTGATGTCAGTTTGGTCACAGGATTTCATTATGAGCTGACATCGGTTAGAGAAACGTTGCGAAACCAGCACTCGAGTACTGGACAGCTGTTTTGTCGAACTAGTTTGGGACTCTTCAGCAGTACGCACCCGCCACGCTGCCAGGGTTTGAACCCAGGACCTTCCGGTTAAAAGGTGAGCTAGCTGGTAGACCATGAATTCCAACTTCTGCCAATTCACGACATAACATGACCTCTAGCCAATGTCTTCGGCGAGTATTTGTCCTTACACCCTACCTGCTGCATCTTACTGGTACTGGCTTCCCGCTAGAACCACAGGTAATTACCTATCTGAATAGGGCCAGTCTCTAGGGAGCATCTCATTGATTTTCAAGTAGTCGCTTGTCAGTTTACTTATGAAATGTATACTGAAAAAGAAATTTTATGCAGAAATATAGAGAAATTGTTAAGAAATTTCTTATTGAAAATCACTTACCACTGAGGTATTAACGATAAAAGAGGTTACACCTGCTACGATAAACACTAATGAGAGTACAGAAAACGTGATCAGCGCTGATGCTTTCATTTTTCTTAACCTTAAACTCACAAGTATTACTATTAGCATCACTGCAGTTGCTGGACCAAGTAACATTAAAAGATACTTCCATGGAAGTTGCGCAAAGATTGAAGATGTACCAAAAGTCCACAGGATCACCTGTATTCAATGGAATGTAAAGATAGCAGTGTGAATGAATGGTTGGTTCGCTTAACAGTAACAATGAAATTAATTTAGTGGAAATGTTTCATGATGATATTTCTAGTAACAAGTTGACCAAGACTCATTATGCAGAAAGTTTATTTAGATAAAGTCTCACAGAGGGTCATACAGTAATATTTACTGATGACCACATTTCGAGAACAATTTATTACTACTCATAATCATATCAAAGCACTACGCACACAACTTTCCAACTTTGTTTAAATAATCCCCTTATTTCTCATCTCTTGATTTGATTGGTGGTAGTATTTCCTATATCTCTGGGATACTGACGAGTGGTCATTCCTATTGCACGCGTTATTATTATTATTGTTCCCTTGGGTTCCTAATGGAACATAGGGCTTCAACTGCACGTCTCTACTTGCTTCTGTCTTCTGATGTACTTTTCACTTGCATCCATGTTATTCCATACTGTTTCAACTCCTCTTCACACGATCTCCTCCATGTCACCCTTACACGTCCCACTCGCCGCTTCCCTTTCGGGTTCCACTCGAGCGATGGCCTGACGCGCGATGTCACCCAACGGCCTCCTCAGCGAGTGTCCAATCCATCTCCACTTTCTCCTGCATATTTGTTGGGCGATTGGTTCTTGTTTTGTTCGTTCACATAGTTTCTAGTTGGTGATTCTTTCCAGCCATCTGATCTTCAGTATAGAGCGAAGACAGTTGTTGATAAAGGTCTGCAACAGGCTGTTGGAAATATTCTTTGTGACCCGCCAAGTTTCTGATCCGTATAGAAGAACTGACTGACTTGACATTTGTACTGAAAATCCGAATTTTGTTGTTGATGCTGGGTGACGGAGACTTTCAGATTGGTTTCATGATGTGTGATGAATGTGTTTCTCGCCTTCCCGATTCTCGATTTGACATCTTCGTCCGTTCTTCCTGTAGTTGAGACAATGCTCCCTACCTAGATAAGTGAATGAAGTAACCTCTTTCAAATCCCTCCCGTTGATGGTGATTGGCGCTGGATGTTGCTGCTGTTGTTGGTTGGTTATTTTCATAACCTCCGTCTTGTCTATGTTCACCTGGAGTCCTGTCTTCTCTGGCTGCTTCTTCAACCAGTTTGTCGGTTTTCGCCTGTAAGTCTTCGATTTTGTGTGACATCAAACATAAATCATCTGCGAAATCCAGGTCTTCTAGGTTCTTCGCGTCGGTGGTGCAGGATATCCCTGTCTTCTCGTTTCCCACTGTCTGACGCATAATCCAGTCCACCACAATTAGGAATATCATTGGTGGTAATAACCACCCTTGTCTGACTCCTGTGTTTACTCCAAACGCCTCGCTGAGTTTTCCGTTGTGGATGACTTGACATGTGCCGTTGTCGTACAGCTGTTGAATAGGGTTGATGAATATTTGGGGTACGCCGTCTATAAAGTCTATTTTGTTAAAATGCTAAGAAGTAGTATAGGTCGGTGGACAGAGAGAGGGGTTGATGGCAAAGTTAAGCTTTAAGCACCACTAACTACTACCAATCAGAGAATGACTTCGAACTCACCAGTCACGTGAAGGAGGCATTTTTTGTATATGGAATACATATATTTATGAAAAAAATGCATAAAAGCTGTAGAAAAGTGATACAGAGGATACCTTCCTCTCACATGTGATAAAAGTATCTCTCAGTTTTAGGTTGGAGTATCAACAGAGTATAATTGCATTGTGGGTAAAATTTATTTTGATAAAGTCTCATATTTTGTTATACAGTAATATTTCCTGAGCAGTAAATTGTGCTTATAACGTCATCAGTAATTTGGAAAGTGCTTCACTACTATGGACTGCCCTAAATCTTTATCAGTCTCATTCAACAGGTACCTGGAGACGCCATATGCCAAGAGTCATCCACAACGAAAAGCATGGCTATAAGTACTTGAAGTAAAGAAAGGTGTAAGAAAAGGCTGCCTACTATCACCGATACTGATATTCCTGATTGTGGGGACTGCATCGGCCAGTAGATCTTCATGTGCCAGAAGGCAGGAATACCTTTGAAGGATAAGAAGACACATCATCATCTCTGTCGTCTATATATTCACTCGAAGTCGTGTCTTTGTCGTTAATTCTGCTGCCAATTTGTTGTTGATTTTTCGCTTGAATATCTTCGAATTTGTGTGACATTAGACAGTAGTCATCCCCAAGGTCCAAATTTCTAGAGTCTTTTGTTCAATCTTGTGTGTATGCCCTTCTTCATTCACATGATCCCTTGCATATTATCTTCGATTAATCCAAAATATAATGCTGGGTTTCGCACAAATTCAAATCGCTCGTCAACTCTGAAGGGAGTATTTTCTGAGTGAATTTCTATTTTCAACGTTTATCGCAGTTGTTATGAATACACGTCACGCTGATTAGTTGGCAGGGCACACGTAGTTTACCAAAGAGATATACTCTTCTTCTCTGATTGCTAGTATCATTATTATTATTACAAGTCAGCTTTGAAGTTTCGGTAGCAGTGGTGTTTACTTTTACGGGGTGAGACTGCTAGCCCTGTGCCCAACCTTCACTCTTTACCAGTCTTATTACTGGCTAAGCGAGGTAAAGGGGTGCGTCAGCCGGGTGCGTCGAACCCCGAACCACATGTGGCATGGTCGGCATGCATTCTACCGCTATGCCGCCAACGCATATGAGTGCTATGTGGTTGCTTAATGATGAACCAGTATTTATAATATTTACAATAAAAAATGAAATTTCTCAAAAATGTGAAATTTAGCTAAGTTAAGTGTGACATTTCATTATTATTGTTTCCTTTAATTCCTAGAAGAACATAGGGCTTCAGCCGTGCGTCTCCATTGCGTTCGGTTCTCTGCTAGAGTCTTCACCTGGCTCCATGTCTGCTCACACGCTTTCATCTCCTCTTCACATAACCTCCTCCAAGTCACCCTTGCACTGACGACCAACTCGCCGCTTCCCTTTCGGGTTCCACTCGAGCAATGGCTTATCTAGTGATGTCACTTGATGGTTTGCTTCCTCAGAGTATGGCCAGTCCATCTCCATTTCTTCCTGCTTATTTGTTTCACAATTGGTTCCTGGTTGGTTCGCTCCCAGAGATCCGTGTTGCTGATCTTTTCTCGCGGGCCATCTGATCTTGAGTATTGAGCGAAGACAACTGTTAATGAAGGTCTGTAGTTTGTTTGGGATGCTCCTCATGACGCGCTGGCCAAGTCTCTGATCCGTATAGTAGCACTGACTTCACATTGGAGTTGAAAATCCGGATCTTATTTTTGATGCTGATTGTTGTTGATCTGCACACAGACTTGAGAGCAGTGAAAGTTTGTCTTGCTTTACCGATCCTTGCTTTGATATCCTCGTTAGTTCCGTCAGCCTGTAGCTGAAGCGCTGCTTCCCAGGTCGGCAGATAAAAGAGGTTGTTTCTTTCAGGTTCCTCCCATTTATGCCGATTGTTGTCTGTTGTTGTTGCTGTTGGTGGTATTGCCCAGGAATCTTCATCACCTCTGTCTTCTCTATGTTCACCTGAGGGCCTATCTTCTCTGGATGCTTCTTCTGCCAACTTGTTGCTTTTCGCTTCCATATCTTCCCGTTTGTGGGAGATCAGACATATATCATCGGCGAAGTCCAGATCATCCAAGTTTTTTGTGTGAGTCCATTTTATGCCTGTTTCCTCATTGTCCGCTGTTTGTCGCATTACCCAGTCTACTGCAATCAGGAAAATCATTGGCGGTAGTAGGCAGCCAGCTTGTCTTACTCCTATCCTCACTTCGAAGGGTTCCGTAAGTTTCCCGTTGTGGATTACTTGGCATGCAGCATTGTCGCACAGTTAGTGGATGAGGTTTATAATTGTCGGTGACACTCCGTGGTAACGAAGTGGTTGCCAAGTTACCTCTCGATCGACGCTGCGCTGTTGAAGGCCTTTTCAAAGTCGATGAAGTTGAGATAGAGAGGTGACTGCTATTCCAAGCTTTGTTCAATGATGATCCCTAATGTGGCGATCTGATCAATGCATGACTTGTTTCTCCTGAATCCAGCCTGTTCCGGTCAAAGTCTTTCATCCAGGGCATGTTTGATTCTCTCCAGGATGATGCGGCTTAGTATTTAGCTTGGGATGGACAGGAGCATAATTCCGCGCCAGTTCTTACATTGACTTAAGTCTCCTTTCTTTGGTAGTTTGAATGAGTATTCTTTCTTCCAATCCTCGGGTACTTTGCCTTCTTTCCACACCTTCTCCAGTAGTGGCGTCATCAAGTCCGCTGTTGTCTCTGGGTCCATTTTCAATGCTTCTTCTGGGATTCCATCTGGTCCTGCTACTTTTCCGACTTTTAGCATCTTGATTGCCTTCAGGACTTCTGATTTCGTGGGGGGATTGGTGTTCACTGGCAGCACTGGAACAACTTGAAAACAGTGACATTTCATAATTTCTGGAAAATCCTCAGTCTGTATGAGCATGGAAATAAATCTGTCACACAGAAGGGATTTTGAATATGTATAAAAATGGATTCACATTTTTAAACGTTTTAAAACACTGATTACTTAATTTTCCAACAAAACTAATGTGTAAAGTATAATTCAAGTAATGGAGCAGCAGTTCTCTGTGATAAAAAGGTGAAATGCATAACTTTTTACTTACTAACAGCATGATAACAACGATATTCACTGGATAACTCGTCCGCAACGAGTCGAACAATATGAAGATCAGAGAAAGAATGACAGCGGCAATACTAAAACAAGTGATTTTAAAATACAAAATAAAATAAATTTCTAACTGCATATAATGAAAGCAAAATATATGTAAGATCTTCATACACATTTATTTTCCTTAATGCGGGCTGATGAAGTGTCCCAAACTAGGACGAAACAGCTGACTGTCCAGTACTCCCTGCAGGTTTTCCATTTGTTCTCTAACTGACGTCAATTCATGATGAAATCCTCCATTCAATCAAACAAAATCCCTACAAAACCAGAACTTGAGAATTTGAATAGAGCAAAAACAACGGTGGTTTGTGCAGAATAAAATGGTACCGTCATTGTTTATTTCGTTGGCCTCTCATCAGCTGATTACAGACTAAAGATATTATTAAGTTTATGTACAGAAAAAATTTTAACATACTTGTTCACACAGTTCATTTTAAACAAAAATCGATCAATCAACATGTGTATACAATAAAATATATATATATATATATAATAAACACTTTATTCCGAACAATAATGACCATAAACAATGGAAACTTTTTTGCATTACTTAATGAGATGAACATATCCAGTGACCAGTCCAAGGAAAGACTGATAACCGCTTCTTTCTGAACGCATGAATCAGCTTTCAGGCGCTTGGTGGAAATAGCTTCAGCAAACTGGAGGAGAAATGAACTCTTTTGCCTATTGATAATTTTGAACGATCTTCCGACGTCCACCTTATGACCCGTATCAAGGAGATGCCTGGTGATGGCACTGTTCAAAGCATTTGTTGCGTTAAGACATAAACCTTTTGGTACATGTTCAGAAAATTGGAAGTATGCTCTTCTTTTTGTTCTTCCAATGTAACTGCTCCCTCAGACACATGTAAATTTGTACATACATTTAGAATTAACAATGAGAAGGGTATCTGTAGACTTTTGATTGCACTGAAGAGCATGTTGTCCTATAAATGGAGATTGACTTAGCTGCAGGATATGCTCTCGCTAGTGATATTTTCAATCTTCTGTTGACAATTGCTGTGATATTTTCACCTTTAAAATCAAGTTGAATGAAGATTAGCTTTTTTCCCACTGTGATTTGTTTGGCATTTGAGACTTCAGATCTTCTGTACTTGTTAATGAATCTTTGAGGGTAACCGTTGTTTTTCAACATCTTTTTGAGAAACATAAATTCTTCCTCAGATTTCTCTGAAGAGGATGTTCTCTTAACTTTATCATATAGAGTCTTGGCTAGTGCTCGTTTAAAGCTATTTGGACAAAATCTATTTAAATGTAGGTATTGTCCTTTCCATGTAGGCTTTCGGTAAATTGATCTCTGTGCAAGTATGTTAAAATTGTTTCTGTAGATATACTTAATAATGTCTTTCGGCTATAAGCAGGAGCTGATGCGAAGCCAACTAAATCAACAATGATGGTACCATTTTATTCTGCAAAAACCACTATTGTTTTTCTTGCTTTATAAATATTATGTCAAATTTTTGAGTTAATTGAATTCAGGGACAAAAGGTTTACTCTCAGTGTTCAAATAAACAGAATTGTGGTGATCAGTGCACATATGGAAGACAGGGTCTCTTGTACATTATGAATTCATTACCGGCACAATAGTGGATTAGAAGTTAGGAGAAAATGTAAGTGACCTAAAGTTCTTTAAAAGAATGAAGCTGCTAATACTGTTGTTCTCAGGAGACAAACAAATGAAATCACTGAATAACTCACCCTTTGCGGGTTAATTTTTATAAAAATGAAGTGGCTGTGGGTACGTAATGCCAATGAACGCCAAACTAGGCTGGCGAAACAGACGGATGTTCAGTACTCGGATGGTGGTTTTCAATGGTTCTCTAGGTGATATTTATCCGTGATCAAACTTGAAGAACAAACAAAACCTCTGGAAACAAGCTTTTGAAAACCTAAAACCTTTTAGGTGTTGTGATGAATGAGTTCAACACAATCTTCAGTGTGTTCCATCAATTACTGCACTGACTTTGTTGAATCATAACAGTAGCTTTATTCTGGACAAAGTGCTCGCTAAATGTACAGAATTCTCTGCGTTCTTTATTGCACAATATCTTTTCCTCATCCAGGATCTTCATTTAGTATAGTGTATCATGTGACGCGGTGCTGCTTGGTCTAAAGCGTAGAATAATCCCTCATGACATTTTTCTTTCATTTCCTGGATATGTGCACCAGTATTTTGAAGGCTAAATGAAAATATGCGTGAGTACATTTCGCCACTCAAGGACATCATTGAGTAGTTAAAAGAATGAGAATTAGCAGAAATACGGCGCCAATATTGCGAAAGGTTTGGAAGAAAGAAAAGATACCTACTGATTGGAAGAGAGGCTGGCTATCACGTCAAACTAGCGAAGAATGCCGACTTAGACCACTGTAACAGCTGGCGCCGAATCATACTTCTGTCCATCTACTCCAAGCAAAATACGAAGTCGCTTCATCCTGGAGAGAATAAATCAGGCTCCGATCCTCGAGAACAAAGTGGATTCAGGAAAGGTGAATCATGTGCTGATCAAAATGTAACTCTACGCATCTTCATTGAAGAAAGCATAGAATGGCAGTCAAACTTCTATCTCAGTTTCATCGATTTTGCAAAGGCCTTCAACAACGTTGACAGCAAAGTAATTTGGAGACTGCAGTGCCAAAGTCTTTGTCAACCTCATTCAACAACTGGCTATAGCACGCATTAGGTGATTCACAACGGAAAATTCAACATGGCGTTTGAAGTGAATACAGGAGTAAGACAGCCTGCCTGTCTATTATCACCAGTGATATCCCTCATTGTGGTGGATTGGATTATGAAGTGCAGCGGAGACAAGAATTCAAGTGAACATAGAGAAGAAGGATGTGATGAGGATACCTTGGCTGAACAACAACAACCAGCACCAGTCATTATCAGTCTAAGAGATTTGAGAGACGTTACTTCCTTCACTAATATAAGAACCATAGTTTCAATTTCAGGCGGATTGCATGAATGGAGACGTCAAAACCAGTCAGGATCGGAAAGGCAAGATATGCGTTCACCAGCCTTAAATCAATATGGAAATATTCTGCACCCAGTCAGAATAAAGAACAGGATCCGGATTTTCAACACAAATGTCAAGCTAGTCAGTCGGTTCCTCCTAATGGGTCAGGAACCTATACTACGTATGAGTCATGAAAGGTATTTCGAACGGTCCATTGCATACTGTTATCAACAGCTACCTTCGACGGCTCCACAGTAAACATCCCCTAACTGGACAGAAAGAATCAGCAACAAGATTTATCAGTAGTATATAAAATGACGTTCATCAGCACAAAAATGTCAAATAGCGGAGAAATAGATTTAACGCCAAAGTAAATAAATTAATCAGTATTGCGGAAAAACATACGAAACACCAAAATAAAAGACAAAGAAACACAATAAGAAGGGCATAAGTAGCACAACAAGGAAAATCTACTCAAATATTGATTTTCATATAAGATGTACACATAATTCCCCTGAATAGAGATTTCAAATTTCAAATAAACATTCCGTTACGAAGTCTCTTGTCTTACACCATTACAGTATGTGTTAAGATGCAATCATTATATCTTATTAGTGTGTTTTACGAGTTGATCACGGATTGATATCAGTTAGAGAACCATTGAAAACCAGGGAGTACTGGACAGTTGCTGTTTCATCCTAGTTTGGGAATCATCGGCAGTACGTACCCACTGGGATTCAAACCCAGGACCAAGAATGGTATACGAGCTATACAATTCAATGGCCAGTCCATGAATTTTAACTTCTACCGATTTGTGATTTAGCGCGACCCCAACTATTGTCGTTGGTGGGACATCCATCCACACACGTGACTTCTAATTGGACCTCACTGGTCACGACTTCTCACTAGAACTCCAGGAAGCTCCAACCTGTAGCAAGTCACTAGCGAGCATCAGAATAATTTTCTATAGTTTGGTTTGTAAGGATTAGTTATGTTTATGAGTGAGGTCCAATTAGAAGTCACGTGTGTGGATGGATGTCCCACCAACGACAATAGTTGGGGTCGCGCTAAAATCACGAATTGGTAGAAGTTAGAATCCATGCACTGGCCATTGAATCGGGTCCCAGTGGCTGAATGGTATACGAGCTTGCCTTGTAACCGGAATGTCCTGGGTTCGAATCCCAGTAGGTGCGTGCTGCCGATGATCCCCAAACTAGGATGAAACAGCAGCCGGCCAGTACTCCTTGGTTTTCAATGGTTCTCTAACTGATATCAATCCGTGATCAACTCGTAAAACATAACTAATCCTTACAAACCAAACTATAGAAAATTATTAGTGTGTGTCAAAGAAATTCAAGAGGTTACTGAAACAGGAGAATAGTTTAAGCATCACTATGCTGTTAAAATTTATACACAAAACTATATTTTTTCTGCACACCTTTGTCATATAAAATTTAAATGCCTCTCACATTCATTTAAGAAAAAATTACTTACCAACAGATTTCTCCTGATGTGATAACAAATTCCTGCCAGCTACCAGGTTTAACAATATCTGGGTTTCTGGAGAGAAAAAAGTTAGCAAAATTCATATGGCAACCTACTCTTCTGCACCCTTCTCAGCCGCATCCATGAATGACATCCGCTGAAAAACCAATGATGTGTTTGTGCAGCGGGTTGATGGAACTACGCACCACAAGTTCACAAGACACTAATGAATTCTATGAACAAAAAGAAATTAATTCTAAAAGAGTAAAGTGTATGATGCATTAATTATTTTAAATCATGACTGCAGAGTGAACCAAGCAGCTTCAAACAAAATTTCAAAACAACAATTCATTTTATTTAATTGAATTGCTTTCGATAACTTCTTCATCAAGTGGACGGGGTAGCGATGGGCTTTACTGGGTTCCATGTCGGCAGATTTCTTTCTAAACAAAAACTAGAAAATGGTCCGTTAAAAATAACATTATCAGAAAATTCTTATTTTATTGCCGATATATGGATGACACGTTTATTCTTTGGGATAATGATTCGGATAAGAACACAACAATAACTCGATTCAATGAAGTACATACACTCCGTTATCAATTTCACGTGTGAAGAGGAATCCCAAAATAGAATTACCTCCTTAAATGTCCCTCTTACAAGAAAACCGGATGGTAGTATAAACAGAATTTTGCATAAGAAAAGCATATGAACAAGACAATATACACATTTACATAGCTTCGTCCCCCTACAGTAAAAAAGAAATTTAGTAAAAACCCTCAGCTACAGGGTTAGAGCTATATGTTCAGAAAAGGTAACTGAAGATGAACTAAGGATAGTATATGACACCGTAATTGAAAATAGTTGTCCAGAAAAGTTCATGAGGAAACACATGATCAAGAAAGTAGAAAAGGACTATTCTCCATCTGCAAATAAGAAACCTTTATATATACGACTGAAATTCAAGGGTGACACACCTAGTGAAATAACTGCTAACAAGTTAAGAAAATAAGTTCAGAGAACTTTTAATGCTGACAAACTACAAGTTATATTTTCTACACGACCGACGGTGATTCCTCGATTGAAAGACGAAGTACCTAGACTAGCCACTTCCAGTTGTATCTACCAATTCAACTGAGCTTGTTGTGGAACGAGTTATATTGGCCGTTCCTCTGAGAACTTGACTTTTCGTGATCGCTCGGGAACATCTACCAGTGTGGTGTAGCTAAGTAAAGGTGTAGTAAAAACCATCGACAGTTTGATATTAGACCACCTGGTCCAAACTGGCCGGCCACAAAGCTAGAATTGAAGAATCCTTCCCTATCATCTACCGGATACGAAATAAACTGCTGAAAGCATCCAGGTACCGAATACTCCAGAGAAAAGTAGCCTAAAACAACCGGTGGTCTCTGTGAAGAAGAAATAGGACCACCTAGCCAGCCACTATTACTGCCTTAGTCAGCCTTCTGTGGAGCCCATAAATTCATGGATTCTGTATTATTATCTTTCCTGTTTTACCTATCTGAAATTCATTGTATTAATTTTGATATAACTAGTCTTTACATTACTGGAACAATCAATATGGCCTTAGAAGCAGTTGAAGGAGAATTAACTGCTGATCCCGAACTTAGTCACAGGATAAAGATGCTCATTGAAGAAATTATTTTAGGGATTCAGCTATGCCTCACATCTACTATCTTCAAGTTCCAAGGCAAAATATATAGACAAACAGACGGTGTAGCGATTGGGATTACCAATATCCTCTATCGTAGCAGATATCTTTATGGATAGCTGGGAAAATAGTGCTCTTAATACATTTAATCTTACTTCAAAAATATGGTTGAGATATGTGGATGACACTTCCACTCACAATGTTAGAAACAGAACATATCTCTCTCTAGCTTCTTGACACATATAAACTCACTAGTAAAGGGAATTTAATTCACATTTGAGTTGGTGAATAAACAAGGAGAATTAGCTATGTTAGATTGTGAAATAAATTGAACAGAAGAAGGTAAACTGCACACTAGCGGCGTTTATAAAAAGCCAACGCATTCTGCTAATAGATATTTAGACTTTAATTCATCTCATCCGTCATCTCTCTGTGATGACAGGCTTAGTTCAGTGTCTAACAAACCGGACAATATCGCTTAGTAGTACAAGAAAAGACCTAAATGATTGAATGAAACAGATAGAAGAAGCTTTGGTATCCAATAAAATTCACCAGGAAGATCAGAAGACGTCAAAATCGAAATAAAAATAATTGTGAAACTAGTAATGATAACATAAATAAGAGGGAATATAAGGCATCTACAGTAGTTATACCATATAAGGAGGGGACATCTGAGACCCTACGTAGGATTCTGAATAAAGTAGGAATTAGAGTGGTGACATTCAAACCTACAAACTCACTCAGACAGGAAAAGCTCTGTGGGCTAAAGGACCAGGTGGACCCAACTAAACAAATTAATATAATTTGCAAAATACCTTCAATGACTGTGAGTTAGGTGAACTACGTAGAGGAAACTAGTAGCTCCGGGATAGACAGATTTTCAGAACATAAGAATTTAAATATTGGGTACTGCTAGTCGAAATATAAGGAAACAATTTCCAATTATTTGTATCGCTCAGTAGGGTACGCATACCACTTGGCAATTTCAATTGGTTTCTTGAGTCATTTCTATGATATAAAATAAATGGTGTTCAACGAAGAGTTACTCCTCTTTTCGGTGACGTCATTCTCAACCTGTACAGTAACGCATACATGCCGTAAACTTTCTCAGCAACAAAAGGAATATTTATAAAGATGTGTTCTTAGAATTGTAAATTTCAAATAACAAATTACGTAACGTAGAAAGCGTTAATCGGCTAGAGACTAAGATAGAAACTAGAAGGGTAAATTGAGTGACGTAATATAACCGATGGGTTGAGTAGAATTCAACTAAAATTCGAACGAGAATCAAATTAACAATTCATCTGCTCATGTGTAGCTGGGTATGTTAGCCGTACCCAGCGTTTGCTATCCAAACGTATCATTAAACACAGCCACATTCATGGTTTTATAAAGGACAAAAATAGATATCTCCGTCACAGGTCTATCCTGAAATACCTGATTGAATCTAAACACCAAGCTAACCCACAAACCAACTTCAAAGTTATCTACAGAATACATGGGAATCTCCCTCAAAGAGTACTATGAATCAAACTTCTTCAAACAGGACAGAAGCGAAGGTGGCAATTCACCTGGTAAATCCTCAAATCTATATAAAAAAGGAGTTTGTCCAGTCACTAAATCTACAATGAACCTAATCCATCTTACCACCAAATACGTAATTTTTGATTTCGTCTCTTAATTGTATTACTTTCTTCCCCCACCTCTTGTTGAACGTCTACCCTTTAATACCCCTATTGCTAACTTGATTATTGTTCGAATTTTAGTTGAATTCTACTCAACCCATCGGTTATATTATGTCACTCAGTTTACCCATCTAATTTTATTTTAGTAAGGAGTAAGAATTCATGGATCATTGGATCGCGTCCCAGTGGCTGAAAGGTCTACGAGCTAGCTTGTCTTGTAACCAGAAGGTTCTGGGTTCAAATCTTGGCAGTGGGGGGGGGGGTCGGCGAGTACTGCCGATGAGTCGGAAACTAGGATGAAACAGTCATTCTCTAACTAATATCATTCCATGGTCTGACCTGAAATAAAACCTTCTGTTGCTAAACCAGTAACATCGTCTGTCTGATCCCATTTTATTTCTTCATATGCCTAAGCACTCAACTCAGAGTTGATCCTCTACACAACACTAGCAAGATACATATATCGAGAACAGGGATATTGCATAATTTGTTACTCAATAAAAAGGTAAAATAATTAATTTAAGTGTCATATATAGTTAGAGTAGCCATTGCGAATTACCTTTGAATATTCGTTAATCTGATGATTTCATGTTGTCATATTTTCCAAAAGAGAACAGATATTCCATCATTACTGATATTAATTAATTAATTAATTAAAATATTTTGTTTTGTTATACTATTACTCTGTAGTTGAAAATGGCGGACAGATTAAATGTCCAATGTGGCGCTTTATACAAATCTGCTGCTGCTACACTCATCATTTTTGAGAAATAGAATAAATTTCCAATATTTCATACATTACCTTACACAATAACACAAAATAATAAGTGGACATTTATAACAGCAGGGTTAACACAACACATATAACATTAACATAAACGGTAATAACGTTTTATTCCGTGGTAGTTACCTTGAATGTGAATTTTATAAGAATAAACGGATAGTACAATTCCTATGCCTTAATTCAGACTCATTATTTAATGAGTACTTTGAACAGTTGTGTAACATTAATATTGTTTAACTGAATGTTTTGTTTTCATCATTCACAATCTTAGTGACAAAGGTTATTCACAGTTTTCAAGTTAAAATGTTTGAGTAGCTGAATTTAGTTAACTGTTTAAATGAGATTCACCTATTTAGTATTAGCAGGCAATAATAATAATGTTTTGTAAGTGGTTCTCTATTTTTTATTATAATGAGGAGTTTGAGAGTTCAATTTAAAATAAATTATTTGTCTGTAGTTTACGTATCCTCAAAAAACGATAAGACTCGTAGAATCATTTTTTGAGATTATTGAGTACTTTTGTAATAACTCATCGTAACCTTTCAGTTCTCAATATTTTATACACAGTGGTTGTATAAGGGAGGGAATTAATTACACGATAGTCAGAATAGACAGGTGCATCGATGGTTCAGCTGTAGAACTCTTGCCAACCATGCAGACAGTCCAGGTGTGGTGATTGCTACTGATAAGTTTTATCAGTAGTTTATATATATAATAATAACGATCTACTTTATTCCAAAACAGACAGTGCTTATAAAACAGAATGGAATTCTCAGCATTTACCACAATATTGCATCTGATTTACTCGAAATATAAATAAAATTAAAACAAAATTAACCAGAGGAATTTGTCCACATTTGCAGTATAAATTCAAAAATATTCGAAGTACAAAATGAGAATGATAAATATAGGTAAAGCAATAAGAAGACGTAATTTGTCTGAATCGTGTAATGTATTTGCGCAACACATTTCGAACAATCTAATCGCAGACGGACTTATC